AAAAAAAAAAAAAAAAAAAAAAAAAAAACACTCACCTTCCTCCTCCTTGCTCGCATATACATTATCCTGATCATGTAAGTGTGATTGGTTAACTGTTTGTTTACCTCTAATAGAGCTGTCATGCAATACAACTGAAGCAGAAGCATGCTGTGCAAAATCTACGCCACCAAAGCTTACAGGCTTATTCTCAAAACTTGATGAGGAGTTTGAGATGCAACCTGCCATCAGATCAACTGTAGAATTTGTAGATGGAGCCATGTGCTTTGGGAGAATACTGTCACAGCTTCCACCTGCACTGCTGGATGTGCTGTCACATGTATTTCTGTCCTCTACTGCTGAGGCAGAATTATATTGTGTTTTGTCAGACATATTAATACTATCACGATATATCTGTGACTCTTTTGACATGTTTCTATTAGATAATGAAGTTTTTGGGTACTGTTGATTTGCTATGGGTTTGACATTAGTGATTTCTTTGGCAATCTGATTCAGGTCATTTTTGTTCCGTCCTCCATGGTGTGGGTTTGACTCTATTTTTTCTTGAGTTTCAATTGATATAACTGTGTCATTTTGAGCAATTGATTCAGCAGTTTTGTACATGGGATCTATTGAAGAATCATTATCTTCATTTCCTTGATTTGAAAGTTTAGACAAAGATTCTGAAAAAAGCATTATGAAAAGCATGCAGAGCAGTAACATGGAACTTATCATATGCACAAGATATCATTTTTTAAAGGATGAAGATTACCCACTTAAAACAGATGGTTCAAATAAATCTGCTTCATTTATCTCTTTCTTTTTGTAATAAGTTCCACATTACCATCATTAGGCTGCTTGAAAAATCACCACAAGACACAAAGCATTACAAACATTTTAACAAGTAAAATGCATGTTTACCACAAAAAGAATACATCAAAGCTAGTGTTACATTGCAAGGCGCTCAAGAAATACATATATCTTATTCATTCCTTTAAACCACTCACCAGTACTAGCATCAATGGTAAGCCAAGTTGTTTCCTTTTCTACATCCTTTTCATACTTTTGGGAGATTGTATTACTTTTTGTAGGCATATGTTCACCTTTCCCATCAAACATTATGTTGCCTTCAGTTTCCTTTGACATGGTATATTTTTCAGAAGTAGACTGAAAGCTTGTTTTCAAGTACTGATCTTCATCAGAATTGGATAACTGGCTTATGCCCTTCTTGCTTCCAACAATATCATCTGCACTGTGTGCTCCCATTGCTGATGCAAATGAACCTTCAACATTACAATGGCCTTGCTGATTGAACAAATTGGAGCCTGTGGCTTCTTCATCTTTGTGAAGTAATCTTCTACCTTCTTGGTCATCTATATTGGCAGCATGCTCCTCATTGTAACTGGCTCTGCTCTTTTGACGTGAACTGATTCCCTCTCTACCAGTTGACTTCTTTCTCTCTTGCTCTTCTGAAATGGTTCTGCTTCTCTTCTCTGAAAAACATTTTGCTGCACTTTCTGAAGCAGTTCTGTCTCTCTCTCTTGCTGTTATACTTCTATAAACATCTGAGCAGTCTGATGTATCATCTGTTATTGTGTGAGTGGGTAAAGTGACAACTAAACCTTCATGGTTGCTCTCACCTTTATGTCCAACTGACTTATTTTGGTGATAGTGTGTGTAAGCTTCGTCATGATCAAATTTCATATATTTCTCCTCAAAGCCCATTTCATGAAGTTTGGCCTTGTCTATGTGCTGTGCCCTAAAAGCTGTATTTTCTTCATCTTGATCATACAAAGTCTTATCATCCTCTTTTCTTGTCCTCACAATATGACTTATGACATTAGTGTTAACATCTTCCACCAGAATAGTTTCTTCCATAATTATTTTCTTATAGCCAGTTTTACTCCCATTTTTCTGGAGATGTGTGGTTCCAACTTTGTTCTCTAACAATGACTTACTTTTTTTGCTTTTTTCACTTTTACCCAAGTGTGACAAATCTGAAGCCAACTCTTCTTGAAACTCTTGTTTCATAAGACAAGCCTGATTATTTTTATCTATCCACTTGCTTTTTTTACCATCGGGTCCTTTTAAAATATCTGCATTGCCTATGTCTTGCACTATTGTATCTTTATCATTGTTTTTGTTAGTCTCATTTGCAATCACAACACTTCCAGCTAGAAAGCAAGCAACACAAAATAGCATAGAGCACCAGTACAGAAGCTCAGACATAAAAGCAAAAGCAGTTATATTGTTATTTACATTTAAATGCAATTATGCAGAAAGATCATAAACATAAATAAAATGTACACAGGTATATGGCATGCATTTCAATTTTATCTTACCACTTAGTGATCCCTTGCCAGCTTGCTCCTGACTCTCTTTCTGACCTGATGAGCGTGACATATTTGAGAGATCACCAACTTTATACTTCCCACTGCTATCAGAAGTTTCATCATTAAGACCTTTAGATTTTGTATCCTTGTTTTTCTCATCATCCTTTTGATCTCTGTAATCTTTTTCAAAGTTAGTAGTGCTGTCTTCTTTCTCACCCAGTATGTCCTTCACATCTTCCAACTTCTGAGTATTTTCTGCTGTTTCAATCTGGGCATTAACTGAGGCGGCACTTCTGTTGATGATCTCTTTTTGAGCTTTGTCCTTAGTTGAATTTGCTCCTGTTTCCAAAAGAGCACCATGGCTTTCAAATACGATTTCTCCTTCATCTCCAACTTCATCCACAAAATCCTTGTTTGTTTCAGCAACAACATCTTCTGATGACCCATGTAGAGCTCTGGCTTGAGCAACTGGTCTCTTGTCATTATCTTCTTCCATTTCGGGTATTCCTGACAACTTCTCTTGGTCGACTTTGAGATATTTGTCTTTCTCCTGTTTTTTGGACCTTTGTTTTGATCTTTTGCTTGCCTCTGACTTCTGTTGCTGTTTCTTTTTCTTTGATTTGTCCTGCGCCTCCAAACTGACATTTGGAATATCTCCTACTGTCTCCCCTGTTCCACCTTTGAAGCTATGGCTTGCATTTTCAGGTTTGTCATCATAGGTAGATACCTCTGAACCAATGCTTTCCGCCTCATACACACTCGTTTCTGAATCTACATCATCTTCAGCTGTTGGTATCTTTCTTCTGATTCTTTCAATAGGCACAACAGATGTCGTCTCAAATTCGTAGTCACTTTCATGTTCTCCACTTTCTTCGGAGTCACTATCTATGGCATCTTCCACATTCTGATTGATTACTACATCGCCTTTAGCAGTGACTTGACTGTCAGTTTCTAGTAATTTTACATCAACATCATCAGCTGTATTTTTCTGGCTGACAGTAGGCTGACTTTCTTGTTTTGTTTTCATTTTGGTGTGTCTAGTAATTAAATGAGATGATTCATCACTTTGAGAAGTCACAACCATTTCAGATACTGATTCTGCTTCCAAAACTTGCTGTGTACCTTTGGTCAATAATGTGTGATGGGTCTTTTCAATGGTAGTGACTTTTGAAGATTCAGACTCATTTTCCATCACTTGTAAGACCATTTCTCTCAGAGATGGGTTCTGAGATACCTCAACTGCAGTTTCTTTGTATAGCTTGGATTGTTTCTGCACATTTTCATGTTCATCCTCTCCAAGTAATGTTTGCCTCTCCCTTTCAATTGCACTATTTTGTTGTCCATAGTTTTCAGTTTCTACAGGCTGCTGGGTCTTATTATTTGCCTCTGTATCTCCCTTCTCAATTATTCGACCACCATTTCTATCCATTTCTTCATTGATCTGTGCATTTGTTTCCTCTGTTTCCAAAACCTCAAGTACCATATCTTTCAAAGAAGGATCCTTTTCTTTGGTATCGTCCTCCATTTCCACCACATCTAGAGCCCTCTGAGCATCTTGTGTGTCCTTTCTTGAGGGCTGCTGGTATCTAGATTCAGCTTTTAACTTGATATCATTCTCAGATGACATCTCTGGCAATGAGAGCTGTAAGTTTTCTACTCTTTTGTAATCTTCTTGAGAGATGAGTTCCTGATCTTTGTGACCAGATAGTGATGGTTGGGTTTTTGTATCATCCTTCAGTCTTTCTGCATTATCTTCAGTGTCACGGACAACATCCTTTGGTTTATGACCTTCTTTGGAAGGTAATACATTTTCATCCTCTTTAGGCAGAATGTTTCTCTTAGCAGATTCTTTCTTGTAATCTGCTGCAGCAAGTGCTAATGAGTCTGTTTCGGTGGGAAAGGCAGGGTCTGGTTTTTCTAGTGGCCCTGTCAGTGTGTCATGTTGTGCATTGACAGAACCATGTACTAGTAACTTGTGCTCATCTAGTGCATGATCTAAAATCAAAGCATGCATTGTATAGTGTTAGTGAGGCATGCAAATCATTAATAATTCAAAAAAATCTTTTGAAATGTGCAATGTGCTTTTAATAAAAGCATGATTTTTCACAATTAATGTGAAGTGCATAATTCTACAAATATGTGACAAACCTCTAACAGAGTTACTATGAATGCTAATAACAAGCAGAATTGTTACAGCCACAGCATATACCATCACACCATTTTATAAATTCTATTGAAACCAAACTTTATTCATTTTCATGTCAACCATATACATGTACTAAGCTTAGTCCCCTACCAGCATTTCCGATACAACTCTCTTCCTGCACATTTTCATTGGTTAATCTGGTTTTCTGAGAGGTGGTAATCACTGGTGGAGAATCTGAACCTTCTCTTAGTTTCTGTGATGTTTCACTCTCCATTACAAATGGCTCTTCCTCCACACTGGAGTCTGAAGCATGCATTTCTGAATTCAATATCAAACATGCATTCAACTGACATGCAAAAAAAAAATCTGACTTTCATTTATTTTCATCTCAGAACATTTCTTTTAATTGTCCTATATTTAGCAATGTGAGCTTAAAATACATACCCTGAATTATCTTAATTTACCCTTTTTTAAATTCTCCAAAATTTATAAACAAATAACTGAGAAAGGACAATATAAAAGATAAATAAACAAGAAGAAAATGCAAAGGGGATTAAAGCAGCGACATAGGATATGAAGCCAAATACACCTTTCTCTAAAATACCTTTTCCATTTTTGATGGTGGAGGTATCATCATCAACAGTATCACAATCAGGGTCCTTGCTACTGCAAAAACTGTCTGATTTTTCTCTTTCCTTAAAACCCTCCATAAACCGCAAGCTCCTGTTTAATTCTTCTTCATGATCAAAGCCTGGTTCATCAATACTAAGCTGTTTCCGTGTTTTATGGGCAAGACGATCTGAATATTAAGCAAAGCTTGTGGGTTCAGATATTCAAGTGGGATAAAGAATAAAAAAACATGCATCTTACCATATTCCCTTCAGCCAATTTTGCAGTCCTGTGCCTTATTACATTTAATTAAACCAGAAGCAAGTTATTACTATAGTATTACTACTTTTTAAAAACGTGCTTGTTTGCAGTCCAAGCACTACGGCCAATTATGGAAAAGGATCAAGAGGTGGGATAAAGTCATTCACTGACAGCTATTTTTCATCTTCAGTTAAAATTAAGATAGGAAGGTGATCTGAGAGCAGGATACAAAGGGAAAAATACAGCGTCTCAGAAATATGTAGGACACATAGGCTATCATACCCCGAACAAATAAAGGGGCAGTTGTCCTTCTGTTTCCAGCCTGGGCAGCATAGTTTCCTTCATCATCTATATCAGACCCCTTGATAACAAGCATATGCTCTCTCCCTTCAGAGACAATCTTATACTTGGGACCATCTTGGATAAGGTCGCCATCTTTAAACCAAGTGACAGTGGCGTCATCTTGGTTCAATTCACATACAAAAGTAACATCTGTTCCCTCATCTACTTCCTTTTCCTCCAATCTCTGTGTGAACTCTATGGATGCTTCTGTAAGATATGCAGATAAAACATGCAGCATGCAGTTATTTGCAGTGAACTATTATTTGCACACTATGTATTATAAACATGCATTATTTGCCAGTACAAGTACTATTTGACTGGTAGAATCCTGAAGTAATCTACATTTATTTAAAAGGTTCCTTGCCCTGCATGGTTACTACATGTACTTACATATAAGCATTTTTCTATATCTTAAAATTTTTTTCAAGGGTCCGTACATTGGAAGTATATTTCATTACATTTGAAAAAACATCCCTACACCTCATATAGTCTGATTCATGTACAAAATGTACCTTCAACATAGAGATATCCTATGGACTCCTTCTCTTCAGCAACAACTATGTATTCAGCTTCATCATCCAAGTCAACGTCAAAGATAGTGAGGCTGTACTCTAGTCCTTCAGACCTTATCTCATATTTGTCACTGTTTTTTATCTTTTTATCCTCTTTGTACCATGCCACCTCATTTGAGGCACGGCTAAGTTGACATGTGAAGGTGACAGTGTCATGCTCCATAGCATCAAGTTCTTTCAAGCGGACAACAAAGTCAACAGGCTTTTCTGTAGGAAAAAAACATGCAGAAACTAAAGTAAATACTAGTATAATAATAGGTGGATCAGTCGGAATAGTAAAAAGTTACTTTTGGTGAACACTCAAGACTGCTTAAGCTGACAAGCTATTAACACAAAGGAGACAAAGGTTGTTACTGGCATGCACTGTGATCAAACATTCTTTTTTATTCAACACCAAGATATTATGGTCTTAAAACTGTTAACCCCCCCTACATATTAGGATAACATAAATACAGGCAAAAGCAGTAGAAAATAAAACTTGTCTGAAATTCTTTTATACATGTACACACAAACAAAAGACAATAATCAAAAGAAAGAGGCCCTTAATATGCTTCCTACCTTCCACCATAAGAAATGTAGTGGATTTACTGCTTCCAGCCTTGATTGTGTACTCTGCCTCATCATCAATGTCCAAATCATGTATAGTCAATGAATGATGTTTGCCCTGACTTTTCATTTCATGCTTAGTGCTAGGGATGAGCTCATCCCCATCTTTGTACCACCCTACATTTTTGACTTCCTCAGCTATTTCTGCACTAATGGTTACAGACTCATTCTCTCTTGCCTCCATCTCATCTTCAAGTGGGATTGTGAATTCTACTGGATCTTCTGTAGAGGCAATTTAAATACAAGTGGGTAGTTATGATTTGTCAAAGTTTGAAAAATATGGTTAGTTTTGTTTCACTTAGAGGAAAATGTAATCTCTTTTACAAAAAAATATTTTGCTTGGGATTGAAATAATACCTTTTAATTTCATAAAATTTGGAATTTATTTAAGTACTTAGTTTCTAAATATTAAAATAATTTTACAACATCTCAAATATATTTCCAATTTCATCCATTATAGCCAAAATCCTCTTCCAATTTTCCTTCAGAACAGGTGAACTTAATGTGATAAATATTTCATTCCCAAAATTTACCTTCCACGACCAAATAAGCAGTGGACTCCTGTTCTCCTACAGCTACAGTGTAGTCTGCCTCATCCTCACTGTTCAAATCATGCACTATCAGTGTATGCACACACCCCTCCACCTTAATCTTATACTTGTCACTAGGTTCTATCTCATCATTGCCCTTGAGCCAGGTGACAGGGACATTGTCCTTGCTTAGGACACAGGTGAAGGTGACAGAGTCATGGCGGTGGGCTTTGGTTTCTTTCAGTGAGACTACCAGTTCTACTGGCTCTTCTGAAAGATTTGGTGTTCAACATGCAATTTCATGCAAGGTTACATTAATTAGGTTTGAAAGCAAAAAATAAAAACCTGTGGTAACAAAAAGGGATGAATGATTTATGATCATTCTAAACATGACAAACACACATGCATTTCAAAAAGACATAAGTTTTGAATAAAATATTTTTTTAGAATTCTTGCTGGAAGTGAAACACTAACTGATGGATATGATCAAGGGTTTCCTAACTGATCTCTATCGCTGTGTGCATAGATTAATCCATATATATTGCAAAGAATTCTGTACTTTGATCTCTACCTCACCTCCACACTAGTGAGCCAACAAATAACAATTAAGTTACCAACAAATAACAATTTAACTTACCTTCAACAAATAAAATGGCAGAGGACTCTTGGTCCCCAACTTTGACTGTGTATTCTGCTTCGTCGTCCAAACATAAGTCATGCACTATCAACTTGTGAGCTAGACCTTCTTTTTTCACTTCATACTTTTTACTGGCATGCAAATGTTTCTTTTCTTTATACCACTTTGCTTTGACATTTTCTGTTGAGACCTCACATTTCAAGATGGCTTTTTCACCCTCATAAGACACCTTGTCTCTTAACTTCATTGTGAAGTAAACAGAGATGTCTGGAATTTAATTTGAATCATGCAGCATGCAGGTATAAATTTAAAACAATGTCAATGTGAAAAGTACAGAATAACATACAGCATTATAAAACAGTTTCATGAAAGTGAATACATCTTACTAAAGGTAACACAAAGCTGTTAAGGAATATATTTCTTTCACTACTGTAACAACAAATTACAGTATCACACAGTCAACAAACATTCATCAAACTGAAAATAAAGAAATAGTATTAAAATATTTCATCCTGATAGATGGTACATATAATCCTGCACGTAAATATATTCACTTTAAATTCAGTTTGGTATGTTCTAAACCAAATCCATACAGTACATAGAAACCTACAGTACCTTCTACTTTCAGTTTCGCAGAGCACCTTTCTTTGGGTAGTTTTGCAGTAAAGATGGCAGCATCATCGGGCTGGGCATCATGGATTGTCAAGCGATGTACATTCCCATCAACTGTAATCTCATATTTCTCATTTGATGTCAAATCAATGTCTCCCATATACCATGCAACTGGTACATTTGGTTTGTTGACTGTACATTCAAACGTCACAGTTTCAGACTCTTTTACATGTTGGTCCTTCAGGCGAACTGTGAATTCTGCATCGATTTCTGAAAAGTAAGAAGGAATTCCATATTATCAAGGAGCATTACATGATTCTAAATAAATAAACAACTTCATGTAAATTTGTGCTTAAATTTACTTATAACCATTTATACCTGTATTATCTCTTTTTCATGTACAAGATACATGCATGCATATAATGCTTTTTTAACTGGAACATTTTGACAATTGAATATTTTTTACAGAATAAGGCACAGTGCACAATATTTAAATATGATTCAGCCTTCATATTACTTTTAAAAACTAAAACATGAACTGGGCTATGGGGAAAAGCTTTATTTTTTCAACCCCTCCTGCCCTGAATAAAAAAGGGAAAAACAGACAAAATATTTACCTTCTACAGTCAGCCTGGCTGTGCTGGTTTTGTTCCCTGCTTTCACTGTATACTCAACAGCATCTGTTATGGAAGGACCGTGTATGGTCAATCTATGCACTTTGCCCTCAACAGTTATGTCATACTTCTCATTTGAGGTAATTTCGGTCCCATCCACAAGCCAGGTAACATCCACTGGTTTATTGAGCTCACATTCAAATGTCACACTTGTCTGTTCTTTGGTAGTGGTATCTTTCAATGGTACAACAAATTCCACCTCAATTTCTTCAACTGACAGTTTAGCTGAGCTAGATTTGTCGGCTATTTTGATTGTGTATGAGGCAGAATCATCAGATGAGACATCTTTGATTTTCATCTTATGTATTGTTCCCTCTACAGTGATGTCATGCTTTTCATCTGATTTGAGTTTCACATCACCAAAGTACCAGGCAGCATCAAGGTTTTCCTGGGAAACCTTGCATTCAAATGTGACTTCTTCATTTTCTTTGGCAGTGAGGTCCTTCAAAGGTTGTGTGAACTCCACTTCAAGTTGTTCAACTTTGATTTTGGCTGAGGTAGATTTGTCTTTTGCTTTGACAGTGTACTTGGCCGAGTCCTGAGGTTGGACTCCATGTACGACAAGCTTTCGGATTTTGCCTTCTGCAGAAATATCATGCCTGTCATCTGGTTTTATCTGCTTATTGTCAATGAGCCATGTGACTTCTACATCATCTCTAGAGAGCTCTACTGCCAATGTCACATCTTCCCCTTCTTGGACAGTCTTGTCTTTGAGAGGAACTGTGAACGTTAGAGGAATTTCTTCTACTTTCAGTTTAGCTGTAGTAGCCTTGTCCTTGGCTTTGACAGTATATTTGGCAGAGTCTTCTGGTTTTGCACCATGGATGATAAGTCTGTGTACTGTGCCATCAACCTCTATATCATGTCTCTCATCAGGAACAACCTTTTTATTGTCAATTAACCAGGTGACCTCGACATCATCTCTTGATAATTCAGCTTCCAAGGTAACATCTTCTTTCTCACTGACTGTCTTGTCTTTCAGGGGAGTGGTAAATTTAAGAGGAATTTCTTCCACTTTGAGCCTGGCATTAGTCATTTTGTCCTTAGTTTTTACAGTGTACTTGGCTGAATCTTGAGGTATGGCATCATGAATGATGAGTCTGCTTATTTTGCCATCAACTACAATCTCATGTCGTTCACTTGGCTCTATTTTCTTGTTGTCCATAAGCCATGTCACTTCCACATCATCCCTAGACATCTCAACTTCCAGAGTAACATCCTCCTTTTCTTTGGCAGTTTTGTCCTTGAGAGGAACATTAAATTTGAATGGTATTTCTTCAACTTTGAGCCTAGCAGAGGTAGACTTGTCTTTTGCCTTGACTGTGTATTTAGCAGAGTCCTGTGGCTTGGCATCATGAATGACCAGTTTGTGTTTAGCACCATCAGCAAAGATTTCATGTCTTTCATCAGGTTCGATCTTCTTATTGTCCATTAACCATGAAACTTCCAAATCATCCCTGGATATCTCAACTTCCAAAGTGACTTCACTCTTCTCCTTCACTGTTTGATCTTTTAATGGCACTGTGAATTTGACTGGGATTTCCTCAACTTTCAGCCTAGCTGAGGTCGATTTATCTTTGGCTTTCACCGTGTACCTGGCAGAATCTTCAGGCTTGGCATCGTGAATTGTCAACCTTCTTATAGTGCCATCAACCTCAATGTTATGTCTTTCATCAGGCTGAATTTCATCCTTATCTAGCAACCAAGTGACATCAACATCATCTCTAGATAATTCAACCTCCAATGTAATATCTTCCTTTTCCTTGACTGATTTGTCTTTCAAAGGCACAGTGAATTTTAATGGAATAACATCGACACTGAGTTTAGCTGTTGTCTGTCTGTCTCCAACCTTGACTGTGTAATCAGTAGCATCTTCAGGTTTGACTCTATGTATCTTCAACCTGTGCACTTTTCCATCAACTTCAATGTCGTGGCACTCATCTGGTTTGATCTCTTCACCACCTATCAACCAGGTTACTTGAACATCATCTTTAGAGACAGTGGTTTCAAGAGTAACATCTTCCTTTTCTTTAATTCTCTTGTCTTTCAATGGCTTTGTGAATTCCACTGGAATTTCTTCCACTAACAGCGTAGCAGTTGATGCCTTGTCACCAACTTTAAGGCTATATCTAGCACTGTCATCTGTTTTGGCATCATGGATCTTAAGCCTACGGAATTTACCATCCACTTCAATGTCATGTCTGTCATCAGGTTTGATTTCGGCATCTCCAATGAACCATGTTGCATCAACATCATCCTTGGTTAGTTCTACCTCAAGAGTTAAGTCTTCTTTCTCTTTGGCAGTTGTATCCTTTAATGGTACTTTGAACTCAGCAGGTAGTTCTTCGACTGAAACAGATGCAGAAGTTTCTGTCTTGTCATCCACCTTAAATGTATACACAGCAGCATCTTCAGGTTGAACATCATGGATGCTAAGTTTGCGTACTGTTCCTTCAGCTGTGATGTCAAGTTTTTTGTCTGCTTTTATCAAAACACCATCTTTTAACCATGTACCTTCTGCTTTTTCCTTCGAGACTTCTGTCACAAGAGTAAGTTCTGCTTTTTCTGTTGCAGTTATATCTTGAAGGGGTTGAATGATTTCAACTGGGATTTCTTCAACTGAGAGTTTGGCTTTTGATTCTTTATCACCAACTTTCAAAGTGTATTCAGCCTCATCATCCGACTGGACATCTCTGATACTCAACCTACGAATCTTGCCTTCGGCTTCAACATCATGCCTTTCATCCACTTTGATTTCAACCCCATCTTTTAGCCATTTAACCTCAGCTGTTTCTTTGGAAACCTCAGCCTGTAAGGTGATGTCTGCAGATTCTTTGGTAGATATGTCTTTGAGAAGTTGTGTGATTTCAATTGGGATTTCTTCAACTGAAACTTTGGCAGTGGATTCTTTGTCTCCCACTTTCAGGGTATATTCTGC